CTTCGTCCGATGAATCGGCCTGGTCGCTTGTCTCCAAGTTAACCCTTTCGATGCCGTCGCCCTCGGTCTCCTGTTCGTGAGTAGGAGGTTTCTCCGATTCGTTCAGCGTCGCGTCAGGATTATCTTTTCCGGAATCCTTTTCCGGTAAGTTACCCTGCTCGAATCTGGGACGATCCGTAGGAGCGCCAATGTCGATCCTCCTTCCGCGGATCTTAGTAGTTCCGCGGGGGCGAATTGCTCGGGTTTTCGCGGTTAGGGTTTCTACCCGTTTCGCGAGCGAACCAATGAGCTTTTCCTGCTCTTCCGATTTTTTGTTAAACTCGGAAAGCATCTTCTCGAGGGTCTCGGCGTTAGCGTTTGTAGCGTTGGCCGCAGACGCACCTTGTGGTGGTGTTGTTTCAACGTTATCTCGTTCGTTGCGAGTTTGGTTGTCACCGGTCATCGTTTCTTCGTTGGACATGTTGCGGCTTCGGTGTAAGATAGATCCGACCCCCCCCCTCCTTCTAGCGCCAAACTGTGGGAACCGAAATCCACCTACTGTCAAATAATCGTAAATAAGGAAACTTCGGGAAAACCCTAAGTTTCCAGAGGAACCGGCTATCTGTAGAACCGCACAACGAAGATTAAGAAAACGATAAACTTAGAATTCAAAAAATAATAAACGAAATTGAGAGCAAAGAGGTTCTTATTCCGAATCTGCGTAGAACTGGTACAAAAAGAGTAGCCGAAAAGCTTAAGAACGAAAAACCCTAATTGAGACGCAGCTCGCTAACAGAAAACGGAAATATTCCTAAATGCTAATTTCTGGTGGTGAGAGCTCTGAAAATCGTGTCCCTTGCTTCTGCCCTAGACCTCTTACTTATATACTCCTCGCCTTGGCCATTCGGTCTTTCCATTTCGCCCAGATTTGAGTATATCGAGAATCTTCCATTTTTCTCGATCCTTCCTTTTCTTCCGCGGAAATTTTCTATTTTTCTTCAAACCTGCCTTTTATCTTCAAGCTTGACATTTATTTTCCTCCTGCGAGTAAACCGTCAAAACGTTATCGTATCTTCGGGTTAGATTCCGTTAAGATCGCGAGATGGGCTTTTATCGCGTTTTAGGACATTCCGGGCCGTTCTGCGATAAATCCGTTTTCCGACTTTGTACGGAATCGTTTCCTGATCTGATGCCGTTCCTCGAGCTAATCGTAAGGTTTTACGATTTACTCGACGTTATTATTAAAAACGCGTTTTTTACGATTTACTCGACGTTTTTATTAAAAACGCGTTTTTACGATTTTAACGAGAAATCTCGAATAAATCGTATGGTTTAGGCAATGTTTGGTGTTTTGTTTAACCGTTGCCGTTTTATATGATTTCCTCGAGTTCTTTGTCGAGAAAATGAAGTTTTACGGTTTTTATCGTAAAACTCGAACGATAGGTCGGATCGAGATGGAACGGGAGACATTTCGGCCGTGGTTCAGAATGCGACCGTCTCGAGTTTTATAAAACGATTCTTCGAGTTTTATAAAACGGCTTCTCGAGTTTTATAAAACGATCTTTGAGTTTTATAAAACGGCTTCTGCGAGTTTTATAAATGACTTCGAGTTTTATAAAATGACTTCTTGGGTTTTATAAAACTATTCCTTTTGTATTTTTGCGGGGAGTTTTGGCTATTGATTCCGTCGTACCGATTTTGAACCCAACAGTAAGTCGTCCAGAGAGTAAGACTTCGTAGAAGGCTTCCAGGAAGTGAGAAGACTACTAAGACGACTTCCTGGAAGTCTTCTACATAGTCTTACTCTCTGGACGACTTACATGTAACTCGTCCAGAGAGTAAGACTTCGTAGAAGACTTCCAGGAAGTGAGAAAACTACTCAGATGACTTACAGTCGGAGAATATTTAGTCGGAGAAGATGTGGTCCCTAGCGGTTACAGATCTTCATATCGAAGGGAAAAGAAGAGTCAAGACTACAATTTTTAGGGTTTTCCGGCGGCTAAACACCTTAAAACATAAGATATAACATACCGGCGACGGAGGAAAGAGCTACGAGATTTCAGATCTGAAAAAAAGGAAGCGGATGGTCAGTTTAAACGAAGAGATTATCGGCGAAAACGGAGAGATTATCGGCGAAAACGGAGAGATTCGTTGAAATCGGAGAGATTCGTCGAAATCGTCTTTACAATCGTCCTTGGAGAGAAACGGCGCTAGGGTTTCGGAAAATTGTGAAAAAGTAACTTTTATATGTCCGGTAAAAATCCGGTTAGGTTAAAACGTAAAATGTTAAAATTAACGGTTCAATACAATTAGACGACTGAAATTTTAGTCGTCTGGGAAATAATTTAAAGCAGGCGACTGAAATTTCAGTCGTGTGGGAAATAATTTAAAGCAGACGACTGAAATTTCAGTCGTCTGGGAAATAATTTAAAGCACACGACTGAAATTTTAGTCGTCTGGGAAATAATTTAAAGCAGACGACTGAAATTTCAGTCGTCTAATCCCTAAACATAACCCCTAAACTTTATTCTCTAATTAAACACTTCGAAACATCAAATTAAACTTGAAAAATGTTTACTATACACAGAAATAAACACACAGAGGTCAAATTAATTTTTTCAAAAAAACATTTCAGCTTTTCAAAATCTAACCCTAAGATTACATACAATACTACAACATATGAGTGTTTCAAAAAAAAAAAAAAAAAAAAACTACAACATATGTTGCCAAACCCTTAAACCAAAGAATATATATCATGATTCACTACTTCCACTCATCTATGCTGAAAACAAATCAATTTTATCATTTCTTAATTTATATCACTTATAAATGTTTATAGTTACATGTTTTTAATTTTTCACTCATCAAAATATTTTTTACAGAATTTATAAATTATTTTTAAGATTCAATCGTCCAGACAACTAACATTTCAGTCGTCCAGACGACTGAAAAGTAACTCAGCCCGACTCAGATAACTTATTGGGATTATATTCGTAAAAATGTCTTCTGTTTTTTTGTTTGGTCACAGAGCACTATACTGTAATTTCATAGCCCTTTTAGGTTAAATTTGCATTTGATTCAAGTTGGGGTTAAAACAAAGTTGTGGGTTAGTTTTGGCAAAAACTCCTAATTTAAACTTATATTTTTATTTTCTAAATCCATTTATATATAAAGTGTTGTGTTTCGTATTTTTTACCAAGATTTTCAATGCGGCCTGGTGGTAAATGCTTCACCAAAGACTTTCATGTTCGGGTTCGAGGGAAGGAGTGTGCATTTTAGAGTATATTTTCAGAATTAGGTTTAATGAGACCTAAAATGACAGAAAAGCCCATGTCTTCAACTTTAGATCTGCAAGTCGGTAGCCGTCGTCTTCTCTCTCTTTCCGACGATTTTGTTATTTCTTCTTCTTAATACATCATACTGGTATCATAACTCGTGCTTTTGAACATGAAATCGACGAAATGATTAACTTTTTACGTTTGCCCGTGTAACTAACTGAATATGACCAAATCGCCACGATCGATGGCCGTGTAACGTGTTTCCGGCGAGTAATCGGGCGCACAGAGCACGTTTTAGAACAGAGATTTTTTCTGAAACTAACCGAATCAGCCGATAAAAATTATCAAAATAATTTTATAGCTAAATCCAAATGATATATTTTATACAAAATAAAGAAGATATATTAAATAAATCAATAATTTGTTAATGTTTATCACCTAGGCACTAATAATCTGTCTAGCTGGTAATCATCTACAAAGCGCTTAAAAATTGCTTTCACCAAACTCTATCATATACTCTAACAGATACTAGTACTCTAATATTTATTAATAGTATTCTATTTAATTATATGAAAGAAGCGAATTATGTGAAAGTGTGAAAATGTTTGAGAAAACAACATGCAATAGGTTGATTGTTTACAGATTTTGAAGTGCTTTTGGGATTTTTTTTTTTTTTTTTTTTTAAAAACAATATTTAGACAATTAAATTTTTTAGAGAAATAGTTTCTCCATAATATAGGAAAACTGGTTTTTGAAATAATTCACTTTTTCTAAAGAAAATCAAAATCCAAGTTTTGCTATATTTATGCAAAAAAATAAGTTTTGCTATATTTATACAATTAAAATAAATAAAAAATGATAACTACTATAAAAAATAAGTTTCAATATAAATCATTTGTTTAACATATATAGTCCATATTAAGAACATTTTCTTAAACTTTCCAATAAAATAAAATAATTATTTCAATTTAATTTTATGTAAAGTTTACATGTTTTTTTAATAATTAAATTACATATTATATGTAATTTTACCATCAATAAAAATAATTATTCTATGTTTAATTATTTTGATAAAACACAATTATTAATTGTGTAGAATTAAATATTCTTTAAAATTCCGTTATTGAATTTTTATTTTGTAATATTTAAATTGCATAAATTTAATTCAGTTTTAACATATTTTAAAAATATAAGTAAATTTTATGTAGTTTATAATTTTTATTTAATAATAAACATTTTAGCATACTTTCTCTATAAATTTATTTATTTTGGTGATAACAATAGAATTTTGTTTTATGTTTTTCAAAAATATATATTTTATTACTTATAATTTGTTTTAGTTTGAAAAAACAAAAACCAAAATCTATTGTCACCATTCAAGTTTTTTGAAAAACTAAAAGCTACAGAAAAATCAAAAACCAAAATTAAAAACCAAAATCTATAAACTAAAAACCAAAAACTAAAATCTAAAATCTAAAAACCATGTTAACAATTAGCACCCAAGTATATAGTTTTGTTTCAACTATTCAGGGAAATGAATCAATGATTTAGAGAAATCTTCTAAATATATTGGTTGGTTGAGTGTGGATTATTTAGCTTTAGAAATACAAATTTGCAACAAGATGGTCTCAGTTTAATGGTTACACTGCAACTTTATGACTGAGAGAAATCTACAACCTTCTTAATTATGACTTTAAAAGATAGTCACACCCTTCAAATTTTGTGTGGTGAAGATAGAGAGCTTCAGTGCCTAGACGAAGTGATTCTTTCACGAACCGATGATAACATTTTAGGTGATAACGTTGCCTTCGAAAAGGAGTCTTCGGTGAATGTAATAACGTTGCTGACTCCGTGGCAAGCCACGCGAGGATTCCGACAAATATTAGGAGAAACGATCCTCGCATTGTTCACATATAGTCCCCCCGACCTACCAGATTTTGTGATAACGAACATTTTATCAGGGATGCTAGAAGGAACAAGAGTTTTGTTTGGGAAACGAAGCATGTGGTTGATCATAAGCCACGCAGGGATCGTATGTCTTAGTATAAATGTCTCAAGACTCTCTTGACTCATGTCTGCTTGAGAAAGATGGTCGTCGCTAGGCATCAAGAAAGTAATCTCTTGGTTCTTGTAAAAATCTGTATCGTTGAGGACATGGAGAAGAAGAAGGGTGCCAAAACCGTTATAAGATTCCCTAATCATGTCGGCAATGGCTGAGACTAGGTTGTTGCTTTGATTTTCTTGTCTCAATATGGGAGATGGACTTGGCCCGGTAGATGCAAGAACTGTAAGAAAAAGGTAAAGAAAGGGAGTCATAATTAGGAAAATAGATCTCATACTAGCTGACATTAGAATCATCACTCGTATCAATTATAAAACTTTGAAAAGAATGTTATATACTGTGTGTGGGAAACTCAGCAGTTCATGAGTTTTGGAAGTTAATACTAAACCGGTATAAGCCTCATGGTGATTAGTTGATGCATGGTGGATTCATGACTTCAACTTTTTCATTTAGTAAGTGTGACAAGAATAGTCGTTGTAAACATGAACGAATATTAAGTTAGATGGACTTTCAAACCTAATAATGGATTTTTTTTCATTTTTCTTATATGTTACTTAATATATTTTCTAATTTTATATGTTGTGACATTGTTTATAATATGTTTCTTTGAAATAATAGTTTTTAATCATTCATCTCATAATGTTATGATAAGAACTAGTTGGCCAACTTTGGATCGGATCGATTATGATGGAATAAGATTTCGTAGATCAGACTCTGATAATACTAAATACAGTTGTATCTTTAAAATATATAGCGACAGCAAATCAAATCCTAGACTTGAGTTGCACCAAATAGGCAAATACTACATACAAGAATAATATACCAGAGAAATAATGAAACGAAAAAAAGACAAACTTAAAACTGAATAACACAAGTATAGCAGATAAAATACACACATATATATTTACATACATCCACAGTCAAGTAAAGAAAACAAAGTATGAAAAGAAAATTAGGAGTTGAGAGGGTTTTAGTGAAAAACAAGATCATTAAAACCTCGTTTAGAGGCTAAACCAATAACACATAACATGTAAAACACTTTCCCACTTTTCACCTGTGCCTTTACTATTGCCTTACCCTTTTCAACTTTCAACTTAGCCTTAGCCAACATTGGCTTCTGTGATTCTCCTAACCGCTCTCGCTCTTCAGCTTCTGGTTCCTCCTCTATAGTCTCTAGCCTCCCCTTTAGTATCTCATCCAAGTCTTTCCCCAAGTCACATATACTCTTATTCTGTTAAGTTACAACACTTTTGTTTTGAAGTTTTCATGTTTAATACTGAAAATATATATGAATCTGAACCTCAGGTTCTTGCAACATGTACCTCAAAATCGCGGTGTAAGTTCCTCTTGTTCTTCCTTCGATGTACAATCCACCACATCTTCTTACACACCAAACTCCTCATATAACCTTCTTTTGGAAACTAGCTTCTTCTTGTCACATCAGCTTCTTTACAAGAATGTCTTCACCAACCCTTTTGACAGCTTTATAAAGATACTTTTTATTCTCTCAAAGTGACAAGAAAAAGTTTGTTACTTTACACTTTACAGACAAGCTTCAATCTTTAAATGTGTTGCTTCTCACTATACCCCATATTTAAAAAAAACGAGATGGTTGCCATAAATCATCACATTCTATTTTGTAAAGTTTTTTATGTTCTGTAAAGTGGTCATCTCCTTTATCATGTTAATCTCTTTTCTAACCTTTTTTCCCTCCCTTAATTGATGCTTTATCTGTCACGCTTAATCTCCAGCAATTATATTAAATAATGTGTGTTTTAGTGGGTTCACTAGTCTATCTCGTGTATTGTTAACGACTAATCCCAGGCAAAGTAATGCTTTATAATGTACTTGGAACTCAAGTTCGAGTTTCACTAGCCATTGCAGTTAACATGGCTCTGTTGAGTGTGATCTTTATATATTCAGTACCAAGATCAATTTGATAAGCACTTAGCTTACTATATGAGATTTTTGTGTAAAATGTATCAAAGATAATGTGGGGGACTATATGTGTAGCTTGTGGATCAAACATGACTAATGTAAAGTCTTTTCATTATTAGGCAACAGATACAACCATATAAACATCATAGATAGCATAGCATATGGTTACAGTTTGATTCCTCTGTTTTTGATCTATCTTTTGTCTATATGAAGTCACAAACGTCAAAATATGAGCTTTTTCTCTAATACAATAGGGAAGCCCCAGTGAGAAGAGAGAATGAGATTGGGATAGAAACCTTCTCTGTTCATCTTGTCTGTGATGCGCGCGTAAATGCTCAAGATCCTTCTTGGTAAAACCAGTGCCTTAAGAACCAGCCTCCTTGATCGGTTTAGTCTAAACCCTTTTGACCTACCCTCTAGCTTCTTCCCCAAGTTATGTCTTGTCGTAACCTTCTCGTGATGATGACTTAGCTTTTTGTACTGGCACGATGATCTTGACCGGTACTTACCAAGAATCCGCAGCATCTTGAGCTTGTCTTGAAGATACAAAACAAGAAAAAAAAATGTTTTTCAAAGATTTTGTTGATGAAGTGGTTTGAAAGTAGCTCTAAAATTAAGAGAACACTTAAATGAGTTATGAATCAAAAGAGAAACAGTTGATGATGGTTGATAGGAAAAAATCAAGAAGGCTCCATTAAATGATAGGGAGAGTGAGGGAAAGATTCTGAAAGCACATGGCTATATTCTTTATTTTGTATTTATTAAAACCTACAAATCCCCAAATCTTCTTAATTTTGTTCAATTCTTGTTTAACCACACAAGTCAGAGAGAGATTGCATGCAGCTGCCATGTATTTGACCTATGTGGCTATCTATGGCTGTCACATACCCAAAAAAGGACAGAGAAACATATAAAGAATTGGTGTTATAGTGAATAGGGAAATTGAGAGCCATGTGCAATGATTGAATCTTAAGAAGTTTTATATGTTAAATAAGAGATAAAGGAGAAGAGAAGACACTAACTAATCATTTGGAACACATGAATAGAAGAGAAGGAAAAATTAGAAAGACAAAAGTCCCAAATGTTTATTTCTTATGATTAATTTTGTATTTTGGTTCAAGAAAATGTTAAATGATCTGAATAAGGAGGCTACTGCAACAAAGTGGTCACTGGTTGCTACATACTAACAAACAAATGCAACATTTACAAGAAGTCATGAGAAGTTTTTCAAAACATATTTATTAATAGTGGGCGAGGAAGTCACAATAAGTAGGGCGAGATATGAGATTCCCAGTCACATTTTCGTTATCTGTTATGGGCCCAATGTTGGCTTATTTTGCTTAAGACTATAAGGCCCATTAGAAGGTAAACGTAGCTGTGAACTTGTTGACCAAGGGACACGCAAAGAGGAACCCTTCTCTGACTTCGTGTCTTAAACTGTCTTGTGATTCAACGCTAAGTTCACGTTTCTTGCATGATTCTATCCGTACATACAACACTTTTGACTTCCCCCATTCCAAAAACCAAATTTAATTAAA